AAGAAAAAGTGAGATGGAATGCCTATTTTACCCATGTTTACTTTTTTTTTTTTAAATTATATTACTTTTATTAATTTGTAGGGGCATATAAGTCTTTATACTCGTTATTTCTTACAATTCCAAATCTAACCAAACAATAGAATTAGTATTCCCAGTAATTCTTTTTCCACCAACCAAACAATGAAATTCATCTTCCTAGCAATTGTTTTTCCATGGAATTTCAATTCCACTTCCCTTAAAATATTTTCCGCGAACCAAACGAGCCCTTAGCGTTTTTTAGAATGATTTCTCCAAAACACCTCTATATTAAAAAAAAAAAAAAAAAAGTTTACTGTAGAGCCATTTCGACTCCTTGAATAACAAGAGTCAGTTTCACTGGCTTACTGCTTGCTCATCAACGGATGGACAAGCTTAATTTTTAAATTGGAGCCTTAAGGCTCTGTTTATAGGAGCCTCAAGGCTCCCATGCCACTTTTTCCACCGATGTGGGAAAAGTGGCAAAACTAAGAGGAGCTGAACATTCGACTCCCCATATGTTTTTTTTTTAATTAAATTATTATTATTATTTTTATTTTTAAAACAATTATTATTATTATTATTATTATTATTATTATTATTATTATTATTATTATTATTATTAGTAATTCACTCACGCGATGCACGGGAAAAAATTATGTTATTATAAATATAAATAAAAAATAGAAAAACTAAAATATTTTATATTATTTAATATAATAATATTTTTGAGCTTCAATTGGTTAAGTATTTATTATTTTTATAGAATACAAAATTACAATTAAAATTAAAATCAAAATTAAAATTTTGTATGCTTAATATAATCTCTAATTATGTGCATATTCAAATAAACTTATAGAGATAATTTACATAATTACATTGATTTATTCTTAATTGTATTTCATCTATATTATAATTTTCACAATACGAATAATAACTAAGATAACTACATTTGGAAAGCAAATTTAAATTTTTGTATGTGTAAATTTAAACTCTAATTGAACACATTTTTTATATGATTATATAATATATAGCTATTTTATTTTTCAAAAGTATATTTTTTATATGATTATATAATATATAGCTATTTTATTTTTTAAATGTTGTGTTTTTTTTTTTTTTTTCACAATACGAATAATAACTAAGATAATCACATTTGGAAAGCAAATTTCAAATTTTGTATGTGTAAATTTAAACACTAATTGAACACATTTTTTATATGATTATATAATATATAGCTATTTTATTTTTCAAAAGTATATTTTTTATATGATTATATAATATATAGCTATTTTATTTTTTAAATGTTGTGCTTTTTTTTTTTTTTAATAATAAAGGATGTTATTGCATTAATTGTAACATTAATTATTTTCCGAACCATATAGCTTTATTATATAAAGGATTATTATTATTATTATTATTATTATTATTATTATTATTATTATTATTATTATTATTATTATTATTATTATGAAATATACGTATACCCTTAGGTCATTTTACATGTTAATGTAAATAGCTAATTTTTTCGAATATCTTTTTACCAACCGTTGATATAATTCGTTGGTAAAATCCGCTAACGCTAACCGCTAACTGCTACATTGCTAGATAGTTTTTCACTTCAAATTGTTGTGTGATTTGAATACTCTCTTTGTCAACAAATCCCTCAAGTAGTTAATATGATTGGCTTAATTATATTTTTTTTAAAATTTTTTCATGGTATTAATAAAATACTTGGTAAATAAATATATAGCATTATTTTGTATTATAACTTTGATATTTAATTAAAAAATAATGCACAAAAAAGATAATATATAGACAATGTAGTGAATATAATCAATTGATGAATTTGAATGTGAAAAATTTTTACATTGGAAAAAAATAAAGACAATATAACTAATGAAATTATTTCTCTTAATTAATTTATTGATAATGAATAATTTTTTTTGAATAAAGACATTGTAGGGACAATGTAGCGAATATAATCAATTCATGAATTTGAATGTAAAAAATTTTTATATTGGAGAAAAATAAAGACAATATAACTAATGAAATTACTTCTCTTATATAATTTATTGATAATGAATAATTTTCTTTTAATAAAGGCATTGTAGACACATAATTCTAAATTAAAGAAATGCATATTTATTATTTTTTGGTGTAGATACTAAATTATTATTTAATTTAATAAGAGTAAAATAGAGTACTAATTATGCCAACGTTGATTTGGATGAGGTTCGAACCTAAGACTTTTCTTATTAAAATCAATGAGTAAGTTAATGGTGAACTAACAGAAATTAATGGAAAAGATAACGGATAATCATATTCATTAAGGATAAATTAGAAAATCTTAAGGAAAAATTAAAATCTGATCAATCTGAGCCATTAATTTGATTAAAAAATTTGACCGCCATTTTTTCTACCCATTATAGGCCTAACTATCTTGGGCTCTTATTAGTATAGTAGATATAGTATATATGTAGAATTGAAAGAATTAATTTCCGAAATGGTCCATTGACTATAGCAAAATTACTGATTTGGTCCTTGACTAATTTTTTATGACCAATTAAGTCCCTCAACTTTAAAAATCTTAACCAATTTGGTCCTCCGCTTGTTTTGCCGTTAGACATTCATTAATTCGGGACCAAATTGGTAATTTTGTTATAGTCAATGGATCATTTTGGTCATCACATGCACCATTTTCTTCAAAAATTATTTATTAAAATGGTCCCTTGATTATAGCGAAATTAGTAATTTGATCTCGAGTTAACGGATGTCTACTGACAAAACGAACAGAGGACCAAATTGATTACGATTTTAAACGTTTAGGGACTTAATTGGTCAAAAAATAGTCAAGGGATCATTTTGGTAATTAACTCATAATTGAAATATACTAGATGTATGCATATCATGGGGAAAATTTTAATAAAAGTTCCAAGCAAGGTACTAATGAGAATGTTACTATACAGTGCACACGAAAGAGAATATTTATGCTATACAATTTAAATTTCTCAAAAATATGATTGTATATATACTAGTGCAAATCCTATCCATTTTTCAATGTGTGACAAATATTACTCCCAACTACCTAATATTTCCAACTTCATTTTTTCAAACTCAAATGTGTACACTTTAAAATTAAAATTAATTTTTCATTCACATATTATTCATTTTATACGTATAATATATCAAATTAAACATCTATCTTTGGAAAATCCAAATCCACTTAAGTCAACCTAAATTGATAGTGGACCACACTGAAATTATACCCACAATATTGTCGATTTAAATGTCATTTTAAACAATTTGTTAACAAAAAAATACATGCAATCGGATATAAATTTTCATCCTTATTAATAAATAAATATTAATAAATTCGAAACAAAAGTATGAATTGCTTTGGTGTGGTGGGATTTTTTTTTGGGGGGTGGGGGGGGTGATTGTTACTGCCGCCGATTTGTGTTAAACCCTTTTTTAGTAATAGTAATTGTACCTAATATATATAATGTGTATTCCCTTTTTAGTAAAAAATTATGACCAAATCTGCCTCACTTTCTATTGCTAACCCACGTACTTGCCAACTTGCCGTAATTTAATCTCGAAATGAAATTATTTGTGAATTAATTAATTATATTAATAAAAAATTATTAAAAGTGTTATTACATACTAACGTGACCTATTGTACAGATTATGAATTTCTCAGAAATTAATAATAACAGCATTTAAAGCTGTTTGATTCAAGATATTTAATCCCAAAAATATGAATATTGTCATATCATATTACTTTATTTGGTTCTAGCAAATGTGAGCTTATTAAGGTATTATGAGATTTGCAAATTTTGTTTTTAATTCATTATTAGTAACGTTCACGAGGATCACATCTTCACTTTATATGAGATTTTTGAAAATATTATATTATTTTAAAGTTTTCATTGATCCAATCCTGCGGAGAGAAATAAGAAATATCATTTTCCTGATTATATATGAAATTACTCTATAGATTCAAGTGTAAATGTGTAATACATTAAACAATTCATAATTAAGAGTTAATTCCACCATAGATCCCTTGTCTTTTGTAGTAATTCCAAATTTAGTCTCAGACTATTGTTTTTGTCATTTAACATCCCAGATTATTGTTTTTTGGACACTTTTAATCTTTTTCATGACTTTTGCTATTTTTAGTAAGGGTATTTTTGTATTTACATATTTTTGTTTTGTTAATTTTTCGATTTCAACCGGTTTAATCGGTTTAGAACTTTAGGTAACCTCTAATTTTTAGTAATCATATTTTTCAATCGATTTTTAGTAAAGTACTAAACCAATTAAACAGGTTGAAAAATATGATGAGACAAAAATGCCCTTACTAAAAATAGGAAAAATCATGAGAATGATTAAAAGTGTCGAATAAAATGATAGTTTGGGATGTTAAATGGCAAAAACGATAGTCTAGGACTAAATCTGAAATTGTCACCAAAGACAAAGGACCTCTGGTGGAATTAACTCACAAATTAATTGCAGAGTTAGACAATTCGCTCGTAAGTATTTTAATGATTTAAACAATTTTAATATTTATCGTCCCACTCGTTTATGATATGATTTTTTTTAGTACTATTAACTCTGTTACAATGCCTCTATTAGAGTTTGAAAGAGTCATAATTATATGGCTTGACCTGGAGATTTGTGGCTTTATGATAGGATTTGATATTAAATAATTCAAAAAAGTAACATTTTTCAATTCAAAGTGAAGAAATTGATTATTGATCCAATACTATAGTAATAAATTACTTAATTGCCAATATTGGAAACTGGATCCCACTCAAATTAAAAGTATTCATATCCCAATTTATTACATATACATATATATTCATACACACACATACACAGTATATGTGAAGCTAGCCAGCCAATATATATGTATATATATATAGACTATAGTGTTCATAACATAAAAAACCTGTAAAAGAACTCTGAGAAGAGAAGAGAAAATAAGAAAAAGATGAAGAAGAAAACGCAAACCATTTTGCTGTTGATAGTGGGCATGGCGACATACATAGCCCTCATTGTATCCACGCAGCCGGATACCTACTTCGGCAATGTCTATGGCGTTCACATTATCAACGGCTTCACCAACAACTCCTCGCTGCCGCTGGTGGTGTGGTGCAACTCCGGCGACGGCGCCGACATCGGCGGCCGGGCGCTGCAGGAGAGGGACGACTTCAGTTGGAGCGTGAAACCCAGTCTGTGGACCAACATCCTCTTCTCTTGTACCATGAAGTTCGATCAGCAACGCCGGAAGTTCGCCGCGTTTGCGCAGGGCCGCGACGTTAACCGCTGCAGCCCTACGCGGCGGTGCTTCTGGCTGGTGAAGGAAGACGGGTTTTACTTTAGCGTTGACGGGATTAATTGGAGAAAAGATTTTTCTTGGATGTGAAAAATGTGATATTGCCAATAAATGGCAATGAAGATTCAAGAGAAATAGTTTTTTTCTAGAGTAAAATTTCCTTATATTTTTTAGCAAACTTTTTTTTTTTTTTTTTTTTTTTTTTTCATCTAAGGATGTTGGATTTTGATTTTGATTTTGCAATTTTTTATTTAACAGCATATGTGATAAATAATATATAGCTCAACTATAAATTTATGCTTTTAATGTTTATAAAGAAAGTTGGATGGGAGTATAATAGTTAGTTACGTTACACAACATTTATTTAATCTCGTGAGTTTACTATAGATCTTTATTTTACAGATACGCGGTGGGCAGATTATTGATGAATGTATTAAATACTATGGTTATAACTAAATTTCACTTATGTGTGTTTTGTATAACGATTTTATATTACTTTTTGAAGAAAAAAAATTACTCTTTTATTTTTTTTGTAATAAACATTACTGTTTTTACACTCGAGTTATGATTGGAATCCTTTATTTATGGTGTAGATTATTTTCTAGGGGCTTTGCATTATGGAAGAAAAAAATGTGTACGTCCACTTGCTTCTTAGGATATAGTGGACACTCCATTCCTATTGTAGCATGGGAAAATAGGAAATGGACAAGACGTTAAGCCTGCAGGGAAATGATGTGAGACAATTAAGCTTATTATGCACACAACTAGCCAGTGACGCCCATTCCGGGTTTAAAGTAAAGAAAATAAAGCTAGCACGTGCTTAGCTTACTTGTTTAGTAGGAAAAAATCAATGTTTGAATTTTAGCAGTGTTAATATAGGGTTTATGTTCAAAGTGAGCATACCTATTGAGTGCATCGATATTTGACCCTATATGCTGAGCCATTGAGTTACTATGATTTACATTCTCCTAAATACTTTGTCGGGTCAGGATGTGAGGGGCTCTTGGAAGTATTAAATGGATGGTCATAAGTTCGAATCTCGGTGGTGACGGCTTCGATTCTTTGGGTTGAAAATGTTTGAGAAAGTATAGAACATATACTACCTTGTAAAGAATTATTAGTATTTCAAACAAAAAAAAAAAACATGGAGAATTGGAGAGTTAAAATAATAACTTATTTTGAAATGCTATTCAAGTAACATTTCAAAATAAGCTAGTAGCTCATATATAGTTTTTAAGTTTTCAACTTTAAACTAGTTTATAGCTTGTGGTTTAGTGGCACCAAGTTGGACTCCCATAGGGAAAGTTGTGGGTTCAAGCTTCAATGGAGGTAGTAATCGACTCATAGATACTACATTGTGGCAAATTATATCGTGCACCAGGGCAAAGGATGTCGTTTTGGCCATGTTTTTTTTTTTTTTTTTAGAAATTCCATTTCCGGAAAAAAATTTCTCTGTTTCGAATATACATAAACTCATAACAGAATACACATAATCTAACATAATACATAATACACATAAAGTTTTAACATAATACACATAAACTCATAACATAATACACATAAACTCTTAACATAGTACACATAAACTCTTAACAGAATACACATAAACTCTTAACTAATACACATAAAATCTGAACGTATAAAACGACGTCATTTTGGTCAGGGCGCACAATGCATTGTGCACCCTGGTGCACAATATAACGATTGCTGCATCCTTCTATATAATAAAGCCATATAGCTTTGGCCAATCACAACTTAGCATTTTCCCACCCAGTGTGAATGGTAATTTCCTTTCATATGGTAATTTTATATTCCTTTCATTTGTTTTGATAGATAGATAGAGATAGAGATATGAATAATTTTATTTTCCTTTGATATGGTAATTTTATATTAATTTCAACTTGAGTTTATTTTTCTCTTTTTCTTTTTGTAAAAATAAAACTAATGTATAAAAAATATATCATTAAAAAATCTTAATTAAGATCTTTTTTGAATGACCTACTAATCTACTATAGAGTGAATATAAATACATATGATGTATATTTAGTTTAATGTTTATGAACATTAATATTTATGTTTGTGGACATATAGAAGAAATATTATGAGTATAACACACAATGAATATTATTAAACATGATGTGTTCATAGTACACTGTCTATGTACATTAAGTTTTATTTTTATGAATATATAGAATGAATATTATGAACCTACTATAGATGAATGAAAATGCAGATAATGTATATTTAGTTTTGTATTTATGGACACTAAGGTTTGATTTATGGACATATAAAACAAATATTATGAACATAGTCTATGATAGTATTATTAAATATAATGTACTAATTGACATTTGATATAAAACGATGTCATTTTGGACCAGGATCCACTATGGAAGGTGACCCTGGTCCACCATGGGGGATTGAGAGCAACACTCATGACCTGCATTTACTAAAGAAATATATTATCTTGGAAACCTTAAACAATACACATAGCCTGCACTTACAAATATTACATTATATTTAGTGTAGTAGTTTAGTATATGCAAATTCTAATACTTTTGGGCAGCCAAATACAATATTTGTTGTGCTGACTACATTTAATTTACAAGTGATGTGTATATGTTTTTTTTTTTTTTTTTTTTTTTTTTTTTTTTTTGTTAATCCCAACACTAAGTCATTATAAAGCGAAATTTGATATTAGGTACTATACATACTTTATTATAATAAGATATGATTTGAATATTATATAATATTTTGAGTACTTATTTATTTTTTACATTATTTAAATTTGATAAATAATATAATTGTTGAATATATGTTATTATTCGTGCATCGCACGGGTGCTATGCTAGTTGTAACAAAGTCAATAGCACTAAAAAAATAAGTTAAATATGCCAAATAGAGCCATATGCATGTGTGTTTGATTTGTTATTTAAAGTTTTAATTTACACTCATACTTCATTATATTCATATCACTTTATGCGTATAGCTTCATTGAAATTTGTATTATTTACGATCATAGTTGAAAAAATCGCTAGGCGCTCGGAAATGTCTAGGCGGCAATTAATCAGCTCCTAAGCATCTGTGTATTTTTTTTTATATATTTTTAAAATTTTCAAGACTTGATAATTATAAACTATTTAATACTTTAATATTTAATACTAAAATATTAAATATTAACATAAAAAACATAGAGTTTGAACAATTTAGGGTTATTTTGCTCAAAACGATGTCATTTTAAGTAAAATAACTCATTTAAAGAAGAAGGGAACAATAGCTAATCGGCCGACTAGGCGACCTAGTCGATGCCTAGGAGGCCTAGTACGCCTAGGCAGCGCTTAGGCGGCATAGTCGGCCTCCTAGATCACCGATTATATATGGTGATACGCTAGGCGGCCGATCAGCTCCTAGCACCTAGCGCCTAGGCGGGATTTTTGGAACACGGAAAGAATAGATGCTTTACATTAATTATAGTTTTGTGTTATATATAATATGTTTGGTGGAAGATTTTTTGTCTTTAGTTGGTGGAAGATTTTTTTTTTCTTCTTGCAAATTCAATTCCTAAAATATGAGGAATTTAAATTCCTTCAAATACCTTAAAATTGTAAAATTCCTTTTGAAATTCTTGTGTTTTTTTGACCAACTAAAGAAACAAGAAATCTTTGTTTATTCGTTTCTCATGAAATTTTAATTTGGTTCCTCATATATTCATTTTTTGCAAATCGACGAGCTTAATATTGTGTAACTAAAAATGTTTGATCTATATTAAATTAGCACTCAGCAAATTGGCGCTGTGGGCAAAGCAAAAGTGAAGTTAATCTACCCGCATGGGCATCTGGTCATAAAGGTGAAAAGTTGGAAGAATGATCAGGGATCGAGTCTCACCAGCGGCAGTGTGGGAGTTACCTCTTAAAGTGAGGGGGGCTCCTTGTGCGCAGTAAGCAAAGGTCTAGCCTCTGTGTTAATCTAATTTAAGATCAAATCTATGTTGATACCGTAATATATTATTGGTGAACACTTATATATATTCCATACATGGTTATCGAACCCCCTCGTATGAAAAAATTAATCTAGTCAGCACTCACTCTATAATTAGGCCAGTCCGGTGCGAACGTGGATTAGCTTGAGTATAATATGAACTTAAAGGTGCTTCTTACGGTTAGGGTCTGTTCAGGACACCTCATGGCCTGACAAAAAAAAAAAGAACATAATTATCAAAGTACTGTCAAAGTGGGTCGAAATCCGTGAGCTGGCCCACACCCGTCCCGCGGTGGGTGGGTTAGGGTTACAAAAAAATGGTCTGAGAAAGAGTGGGCCTAGCTATATATATATATATATATATATATATATATATATATATATATATATATATAACTGTTCAGGTATGAATTCCTTTTATCATGTGAACATGTGCAATGTTAATAGCCGTGCACGTGGCATCATCGATGGGTATCACTGAAGGTGCATATTGGGCGGGTGCACCGCGTATGATGCAAGCATTTACGTTGTTGATTTGTTGTAGGGCGTTTTTGTAATTTGACCGGTGCATTGGGTCAGGCGTGTTTAGGGGTCTGGGTTTTATTCTATTTTTTCGCGTTTTCTTTGTTCCGCCGGTGATCACTGTCGAGTCTGTGCTCTCTCCGTAGGTCTGTGCCAGTGCAATTTGTTAGGCAAGCCGTAGTAAAGGAGCTGCTCATTAATTAGGGACTGTCAGATGATCAATATCAATGCACCACATCAATCCACAAGTTCACAGGATAATGTTGGTGTGCACCAGAAAAACACCCTCTATATATATAGGCCCGTCAAAAATTAGGTCCACGGTGAGGCGGTCCAGCCCGCTTTAACACTAAGAAATACTAAAAGAGAAAAGGGTCAAATAGACCCCTAAACATTACCCTAAAGGTCAATTAGCCCCCTAAACTTTATAAAAGGTCAATTAAACACTCAAACATGCTAAATTTGGTCAATGAAGCCCAAAAACTGGTAAATGACCTGTTTTTACCAGTCATTTTAATTCCGGCGACGAAATCCGGCCACCGGCGAATTTTTCCGGCGGCCGGCGAATTAATTTTCCGGCCGTCCGGTCGTCTTCCACCGGAGAAGACGACCGGACGGCCGCCTTCTCCAGCCTT